CAGGAAATATTATTTAAGTCTATCTCACAGGTATAACTTATTCTCTGGGATTACGTAAACAGTGACAAATTGTGACGGTTTACATCCGCATGCAATGATAACAATTCTGATGCATACCTTGCATTTAATACAATAACGTTGACAGGATTAATGAACTTGCAACTTGTCACTGTTCTGCATTCAAAAACGAAAAGATATTTCACATCAGCTTCCGTGAAAATATAATACAGCGTATATCTTTCTTTAAGTGTCTGAGAGTTATAATTAAATCGTGAACTGGTCTCGGTTTAACTAAACGTCCTTATTGAAGGAAATGCCTGATTAAAAGTTGTCAATCGGAAAGCATTATTGCAGTTAATGAAAAGTCTTAAGTTCGGGAAAGTTTGTCTAATTTCAGTTACATATATCGAGAATTTACTGTAAGTTAAGGAACATTCGTGAAACTGAACTGTTTCATATAACTCTTAAGGTCATTCTCTATTTTAATAAGGAAAGTTGTACTAGCGTTGTTTCATTTCATTGCCGATGAGTTGACTTATCAAATAGAGGGATGAGTTTGCATTGCTTGTTGCGTTGACCTCTTTTGAGTCCCGCTTGAATGTTGATTCTTTCCGAGTTGAAACCTTCATAAGATAAAATGTTTTTCAGTGAAACGTATAGTTTTAAAAAGCATTCGAAACGTTTTAATTCATTTTAAAGATTGAAGAAATTCAAAAAATAAATAGATAAATAGACTAACCCTTTGAACGTAATATATCATATTTATCCTTGATGCTTAACGTGTAATCAGCAAGATCTATTTCCATGCTACGTTTAATGGTTTTTACATTAAGTCAATGTTAAAATTGAAATCATCAATCACGTTGAAAACAGCTCACATATAAAAGAACCAAAATTTTACCAATTTTTACATATTTTTACAAAGACTTGTAGATATTAATTTAAGGCATCTGAATTCTAAATAAAATGATTTACAAAAACAAACTTTCTAAAGCGCCATATGCACTTATGTTTCAAATGACGTCAGTCAACACACTCCCTGACTTCCCAGGTGCAAGTGACTACTAAACTTGTTATATATCCAGAAGGTGCAGATATTAAGCGTATTTGAATATTTCTTTGGAAATTCTGTATTAATTCGGTAGCACTCGGTTGATGATTCCTACGCAAAACGGCCATTAATCAAGCTGGATTATCTATTATGTAATAATCGACTGTGATCGTAGGTGAGATTTAAGTTATGGTAATATTTGTGATCTTATCACGATACTTTGAACATTTCAGTATTATATAGGACAATAAATAATACCACAAATCGGCATAGCCCCACATAACGTGATTTTCTGATGTAGTTGTCAATGGCGGACGAGATCAGTAATAAAGCTTATTTACACGTAAAATGTGTCTTTATCATTGATTTACTTTCAGAATCAGAATCATATTTATATTTTGAATTCAATTTTTGACATTAAGATTGGCTGTAGTTTTACCCATAATAAATGGTCAATTCTTCCATCGTGTATCGTTTCAAACCATTATTAAATAGAAAAAACAATTGTTTTAAAAAAACATCTAGAGCCCAGTTGTTCAAAACGTGACTAGCTTAATCACTGGTTAGCGACATTTTCAATCTATAATAATTTGGTCATCATACAAGCTAAAAGCTCGTAACTTTGCATGTATGTTTGCTATCCTGAAAGTTCTTACTCACTTAGTGGTTGTATTCTAAAAATACGCAAAAATATAATTGCCGCTTATCACTCATTAAGTTAATCACCTTTTGAACAACTCGGCCCTGATGTTTATAGAGATGATATTATCATTCTATGCTGCTAAACTTTGACGAAAAATGGATGTATAGAACATTTTTAACGTAGCTACAGAAAACGACACACTTTAGAAGCATACCCTCATTATAGAAATCTACCTGATTCGCCGTCTACAGAGAACATAAAAACGTGTTCGACCTTTTTTCATACAGTAAAACCTTCATATAATAAGCAGCATTTACTTGCCATGTCGTCAACCTAGTTCAAAGTCCTCATTTCTATTTTGTCTTAACATTGCTCTAAACATCTTCTTTGATATACGACCAAACTTTTTTTAACGCCAAAATGTCTTTGGATATAACACTGACATTATAAAGTGATAGAATTATTTTATTTCAATCCTCAAATGTCTAATAATTATGGTCTATAGTTTAGTTGTTTGATGGGATTAACCAGTCTGTGTTTTACGTCGGATGAAGAACCGAATATGATTCTTGCATTTTCGAAGATACGTGATGCATTGACGAGTTTTAGTTCATCTTTGGAGAATTTGTCGTTAAAACAACTTTGTTTTCTCTTTATTTGACGTTGATCAATCAATTTACAACAGTATTCGAACGCATTGGAAATAATAGCATTAGGTTTGATACGTGTATTAAATAAATATTTTTTGGGATATAAGGAGGCTCGGCAAAATTTTGCGGGAAACGTATAGATAATTTTTCATAAAAAGGTACAAGAGACCTTGAAACATGTTTGCGGTGGCAGGCAGTGTACAACGAAACACATTAAATCAAGGTTTATACACAAGTTTGATAATACTTTGAATACAATTTCCAACTGTGATATGATGTATGTTTTACCGGGCAGTGATGATTTGTAAGTGTATCGAGGATTGTCTATGGTATTAGCTTATAAATGGTAATCAGTTGTTATTTCTGGTAAAGGTTGAAACGTACACCTCTTTAACTCGATCATTTATCTACATTGAACTTACTGAAGCACAGGCTAGGGGGTCTGTTTAGGATGTTTTTGATTTATTTCCTCGGACTTTGTAGTAAACAAGTCGAACAGAGAGGGAAGAAGAGGGGGAAGAAAGGGGAGGGACGGAGAATGGAAAGGGATATTGGGAGTTTGGGGTTAGGGGAGGATAAGGTTTTAGGCCATGTGGGTCCCGGGGCTCTCCCGGCCCACACAAGTCAATCCCCGCGTACACGTGTGTTTAGGGTCAGAGTTTCAGGGGATTATTGCCGGCTGGGGACGGACAGACCCTTATCGGGTTTGTGTATGGGGAGGGGGACCAGGCACTGCATTCCCCAGTGTTGTTACGCTATGCCGTACAAATTGTGGGAATCCGATATCTAGATTGGGGGTGAAGCGATAACTGTTATGAACAACCCGGTAACAACAAGCTATGGGGGAGGGGGTGAAGGAGGGAGGGGGAGGGGATTATGTCCCTATTCATGACGGAACAACGTAATACTACATTAGCTGTATCGTATATTTTCTTTCATTCACAAAATGTCGTGGGTGTTCGCCACTGATTTAAATTGCAGTACTATAAGAAATATATTTTGTTTCAAAATCACAGTTGGTTGTGGTTCAGTCTAGGTTGGGATCGGTTCCGATAGTGCCAGGTTTGTACTCTATGTGGTAAGGTTGTTGTCAGATCTAAAGATTAAAATGTCTCAATAAATCGTCAATTTTGAGATTCTTTTTATACAGGAAACCAACTGTATACACACACATATATTACTAGTACAAATTATTTACACAATCAGAAAACATTGTACCTAAGGTCATAAACTGGTTCTAGCTTCAAACAATATTATACAGACACTTGAATAGGTAGTTTATCACAGTATTGTCGTCATCAAATATAGGTTTTTAACAGAATTGTGTTCACTGTAGGATGAGCATATCCATCCCCGGATTGGGAGATAATAGGATATGATATTACACGTATATACGTATGTAGTAGCATTGTAAAACGTGGTATATATGTCCATTAGCTTCAGAAACTAGATGTTTTGTTTAAAAGCAGATGATCGACTTAAAAAAATATCGAGTTCTATTAATTAAGAACAATCATTCCTCTTTTTTTTTTTACATTTCGAGTTATGAATGTTACTCTTGAGTTTTAATTTTGATATTTTAAACAAGATTAATATATAACATTATACATTTTAGCGGGAAGAAATAGCCTGATGTATTTTAGTTTGAAAATATACTGTTTGAAATTATTGTTGACTGATCAGTTTGTTGGTTTAAAAATATGAAAAAGAATTAAACCTGTATAGAATGCTTTCGAGTTAAATTTAAAAAAAACAACGATATTCATTCCTGCCATCGTGTCTTAATGTTACACACACCAAGCTAAGCCTTTTGTCTGATTTGTTTCTTTGAATTTTGTTTTACACTGTTTAAATAATCTAGACAATTAAATATACATCAGTATGGACGTAGATCCGGCCCATCTGTTTTCTTGGCCATTACCCGATAGACTCCACTAGAATACTCCTAGGTGAGGATGTGTGTACAACTCGTACGTCACGGCGTTATAACCAACTCGTGTTGGCATATTGAAGGTGATAAGCTCGTATGACGGTAGATTTTACTGTAATTAAATGTCACTCCAAATCTTATAAGATTTTAGCCGGTGGATTTTTTTCCACGATTTCTTACACAATGTATAAGATAATTACCAAGTTTAGTATTGATAAGTCAACGTGATGAATAGATACCGATTAAAGTTTAGTTTAAATTATATTTTATCTCGTAACAGTTAAAGTTTGCACATATGGTTGCAAATCCTAATTATTCTAGCTACACATAGAAGCTATAATCACATATTTATTCTATAAATTACTCAGAGTTACAATTTCTTCATATGTTTATCGATGCAATAGCCCACGTAAAAGTTAGGAAAATTCAAGTTCCTCTATCACGGAAGCCATGATCGATAGTAAGTTATGTGCAATTTTATGAAGTACATGAACATTCTACTATCTGGCAATACTTTAGCCTAAAGATACTATATTTCATAGATGTTTTATTTCATTGAACCTTAAATAATTCTGATGTCACCTACCGGTAACTCGTCTCTATCACATTTTTTAAGACAGATGTAAAGACGACACCAGATACCTACAGCCCGAAACGTAGCGACAAGATTTCATATTTAAACAAAATAAATGAAATATGTCAAGTTTAAAATGTTCATTTTTTATTTCAATCAATATACATTTATTCACAGATTCATTCGTCGCAAGCAATATGGTAAGAAAATCAAACAAAATAATTTTGGAAAAAAATGTTAAGATTAATAAAATCGTTTTAGAACGTTTAAATCCTATGCATTTATCAACTAAATTTTATTTCATTAAGATCTGTTCAGTTAATCCAAGGCATGATGATTCTCAAAATATCAAAAATAAGATCACCAGATAATACCTATCCAATTTATCATTACTTTAAAAGCCTTTAAAAATGTTTGCACGTACATAAAATTAAATAGAATATGGAACAAACGAAGTTTCAAAAGAACCTGAGTGTAAATGAAGGCGAACTGTGTACTAAGCGGGCGGAAATTGAATTATAATGTGAGATAAAATTACAATCCACTACGAATAGTCCCCACGGATTTTGATGAACAACTTTCACCTTACCAAGGTGTGTCTGTCCAGGCATGTTGCATGTGTTTCTAACTGATGTGATCAAATTTGAAACACATATCGGTATAATTTCCTGACTTGTCTACTCCCCGTAGTTAATATGCAAGCGACGAACTTTAAACACCAACCAGAAACACAGATCTCAAACATCCGCTCGGCCAACACCGATTATGCGCATTACAAATCCGGAAGCAGTTCCATTTTTGACATTGTAACCTATAGCAACAGAAACTTCCTGAGTGATTGATGAAGGGTTTGATTCCTTCATGGACGGATATTTAAGAATTTGGCACTTTTGACAAAAAAAATCAAGAGTATTTCATCAAAAAATCCACATATAAGAATATCTATGCATATTCAATCTACTCGCGATACAGCCAGTCTCAGCTTTGCAGATACATTGGTGATACAGTAGGCTTCATGCTGTAGTAGTTCATATTGTAATTCTGTCCTATACTGGGTCCGTTCTCAGCCTGCATGGGTTGACCCATACCCTGAGGGATGCCACCCCGGAAACCGAGAATGTCATTAACGGAATGTGAGGATGCAGCCCACGCCCGCATCATACATGGGGTCACACAGTTGGCAGTGGTCTGAGGGGGCCGGGCCGCCCCGAGGGGTGCCAGTGTGTGATGCTGAGGGGCCATTTGAGCAGTTGGAACAGCCGGCATGGAAGGCGGTGGACATGAGTATGGGTAAAACTGGTTATAAATAGGAGTTGGTGCCGCAGTGCACGGTACAACCTGATTCTTTGTCTCGTATGTGGGACTGGGGTTCTGTGGTATTGGGCCACCCCCTATCTTGTTCCTGAGAATACGACTTATTGAGCTGACTGAAGGAACATTGTACTTGTCACATACACCGTCCGCCAGTAGTTTGTCACGAATCTCCCAGGCGAATATCCCAGGGTCTCGTTCCTTGTACACCTTTATATGTTTCACTACGTTAGGGGTGGTAACCCGGGGTTTACTTCCGCCAATGGCCCCAGGAAGTATGGACCCCGTCTCGTTATAACGAGCTAGTATCTTACTGACACACCCATGCGACACTCTGAGCTGCCGACTGATGTCACACGGCCGTACTCCGAGCTGAGCCAGTTCCACGATCCTAAGACGAATGGCGTTAGGCAGGGGACGCCCATTGACGAACACACCTCCGAGTTGGTTCACTTCGCCGAAAGTCGATTGCTCTAAAAATAGAAATAAATACTTTGTTAGATATTTCAATTCATTTGAAGTTGTCGCCAATGCTATAAACGACGATAAACCATGCAAGAGAATAGACCTGAGTCCTATAGAAAGGTTGCAAAGTTTTTCTAACAAAATCCTTTCCGATAGCTTTGGTTCTAAAAATTATGGTATAATATGTATACTTAGTGATGTTTCCAGGAACACGTAATGTCAATGTGACGTTATAGTAACATACATACAAGTATAGCCATTTGCTGAGATCTATACTTGGTATGATCGACCGTAGTCGAAATGAGTATATTAACCGATGACAGTATATTTATTGATATGTTTTCACGTTGTTGTTTGAAAATGTTTCGTTTCAGGCAAGAATGAGAATAGAAATATGAGAACCGGTTAGACTAATTAACATTATTAAAGAATTATTGTCGCACTTTTGTTATATTTTCATATTTTGTATAATTCATTCAAATTGATAGAAATTTTGATTACTAACCATGCATTCTCATGCTCTTTAGTGTTCAGTGTACATTATCTTCCTTTGGTGATTTATAAAACTTGTGCTTGTACGTTTATCATTTATAGTTATTGTTACTATACGTTAGTGTAATAAAAATAATAATAATGGTATATGTTCAATGTTTTGAGGTTGGAATATAAACGGGTTGATTTCGCTTTGTTGGATCTCATAATATTTCTTTCACAGAGAAGTGTTTTCCTTTAACTATTTTTAGTATAAACTTAACTTAATTTCAATAGATTGGCCTGTATCCAATTACACATGAACATAAGCAAACTGTTTTGAAACAAAAACAGTTAATTAAGTAGAGTTTTTTTCTGTTAAATATGTCTTATTTGTATTGTCTTAATAACTGAAAATGATAGTTGCTGCACAATAAATACTTGTGACGAGCGGGTCACAAACACAAATGTAGATCATAGTCTGCCTATAACGATCACAACTTTTTCTGAAAAAATGTTTATATAAATATAAGCGGTCCTTATCATTTTTTTCTGTCGTTGAGGTTTTTTAATGGTATCGTGTGACACCTGAATGTAGAGTATATTGCTTTTGTCATAGTCATAAACATTTTAACATTCAGAGCGGGATAACGAATCTCTATTTATGATGCTGTAATGATCAATAGGATAATTGGGTTTAACACTGTCAGACTTACAGCTATTCAAGTGATGGCTTAATATTATACACTTCTCAACAATTTTTTTTTTATTATTTTTCGTAATCTCTATCAAAAGTAATTTTGTTAATCATTAAATTTCTTGAAAAATCCTCACTTTACACGATTTAAACCTGACAAATGGCTCTCGTATTTTTTAAATATAAACACGATTAAGACCTATAAAAATTACCTTGACTAATTCGACAGAAACTATAGAAATATCCTGAAAAGTTTGTGAAGAGTTCACTATTTATATAATAGTACGTGTGTTGTGTTAAACGGAATTAAATTGATAAGTCATATAAAAGTATATATACTCAGAACTAAAATATACTTACTAATTATATAATCAAATCAAATTGTGTGCACAATTACATTCATTACATATGTGGTAGTACTTATGATATACAATAGGACTTAGTTTTGTTATTTATATATTTGCTCTTGTGTTATATACAAAGTAACGCTGATTATTCATATAATATGACATCATTTGGTTATTCATATATTTTATTCTAGTAATATATAAAAGGTAGCACTGGTTATCTATATAATATGACATCATTTGGTCATTAATATATTTGTTATAAACAAAGTTACACTGATTATTTATATAAGATAGTGCTTATTTTGGTTAATTATATAATAGGACTTATGTTAAATACAAAGTTACACTGATTATTTATAGCATAGTACTTAGTTCTGTTTTTGTACAAAGTTACACTGATAAATATATATTACGATTTGGGTTATATACAAAGTTACACTGATAAATATATATTACGACTTGGGTTATATACAAAGTTACACTGATAGATATATATTACGACTTGGGTTATATACAAAGTTACATTGATTATTTATAGCATAGTACTTAGTTCTGTTTTTGTACAAAGTTACACTGATAAATATATATTACGACTTGGATTATATACAAAGTTACACTGATTATTTGTATATTAGTTCTTGAAGTATTTAGGAAGTTTTAGTGATTTAACATTGAAACTGAAGGAATACAATATTGACTTTATAATATCTAATAAAGCAACATAACATTTATGTTCTCTTGTAATCATTATCAAGAAGTTAAAAGATATTTGATGTTTTTTCTAAATACAAACATATCAAAAAACTTACTTTACAGCCTGAAATGATTTTGCGATATAAGTCTAAATCTGGTATGAACCAATTATCATTATTTTGCATTAGGAACTATTTATATGTGTTAATATACACCGAGTTCTTTCAAAAGGAAAATGAAATGAATTTCTGAATCCTTTTAATATATTGTTGATAACTCGTTTTTCTATCTAACTACATCGAAACACTGTAGATTTACAGAATTCGATTATTAGAAAAATCCTGTTATTTTCATTATTATTTTGTTTATCTTTTTTTTTTGATATTATGAACTGTAATAATTCGACATTATTATACGATTCGTTTCAATTCATATAATCACAAAATTTTCAATAGAAAGAATTCGTTTGTAAGTGACATAAATTATGGATGAATTAGATATTTCCTATACACAATTGTTTAAAAATATATTTACTGTAATAAGTATTTCGAAAAAATACTAAGAATTGATTCACTTCAGCGTGAACATAATATGATGATTTATATTGAGATTAAGCACATGTATTCCTTGCAATACAGTTAAGAAACCAGACACTAGGAAATATGAGGAAGTACTGCTTGGCATGTGACTACACATAGATAGAGATAAACCAGACTTTTGTTTGATGTTGAGGAAAACTGATTATTTCTAGTAAATCATTTATTTGAATTATTTGTTAAACCTGTGGATGGGTTGCCATTTTGTCGGTGAGACTGTAGTACCAATGTCTGGTCGAGATCACGTACATTGGGGGACATAAAACGTAGATATGCTGGCACGAAGCTGTACACTATACATGGAGAACAGGGGTCTATATGGAAGGGGAAAATCACAACAATAAAGTTGACATTCATGGCAGGGTGCCACTCGGTACTGGTAGGGACTTTTATAGAGAAGTACCCGTGTACAAACTCCTTGGTGGAGTAGCTAATTATCAGTTATGTAAACCACATTCTAGTGAAGCGTTGTTAGGTTAGCGCGAAAGAAAAACATGGTTTCGTTTTCCATAATTATACAGCACTTAAAGATAATACAAAAAGTAAAGGTTATTGAGATGTTAAAGTAGCAGTTTTAGGCAATGAACATAGAAAACATCAACCCATTTATCAACCTTCTGGAAATAAATCCATTTTAGAATATGTGCACAAGCTAATTCGTGAGTGCAGAGCTGTGATGGAGCTGTGTGTAACCATGTGACCTAGGCGACATTGCCTTCCGTCTGACAGCGATACAGCAACACTCATGCACCATGGTCAAATTACCCCATTATCTAACGGCTTGATGCACCCAAGGTGTAACATGTGTTGGCCCGACCATCCTCTTTATCTTCGTGCATCATCCACATAACACGGTTTATACCCTTCTTCCCTCTTAACAATTATGGATTTGTTTTAATCTGTTGAGCAGTTTCTGTTCACTGTACTGTTTGGGATTAAAATACTTTTAATCTAGGGACGGGTTCTGGAATTGATAACACTCAGCAGAATTTTAAACCGTATTCTTATCTGGTATAGTCTGATATGTATGGGTTTGTTAAAAATCTACTGACGTTCACTGGTCGTTTCAATAACTCTTCCATATACATATTATTTATGCGTTTTCACGGATTCACTGACACAGTTTCCTTACTCTCTAGAGTTACTGATTTTGTGGAATTTGGTTTGTTTCTACTACACTGTCGAAATAATAATAATAACAAAGGAAAAAAAAAACCAGCATATTTTAACCCCTGCAATAAATAACGATTCTTAAGTTCATCTTGATTTTTCACATCCTGTATAATTTGAATATTAAAATCATCTTTGTAAGAACAAATATATTAAGTAAGGAAATTTGATTTACAAAATGGAAACATTCATTACAGAAAAAGTTTTTACATCTTTGATTGTTGTAGTTGTTTTATAATTTAGTTACTGTATGAAATAAAAAAAAAAAGAATAAAGAAACAATTTTAAAATTTAATTTTTAACTTCAAAAGTGATTTTAAAATTTGTAACAAAATCATTTGTGAGAAAGATTATTTCAATTTAATTTACATCAAAGCTAATCACAATTTTAGAATATATAACGAAAAGAGGGATATCATAATTATTTGGATTTACAACAATTATTTGATTAGTTCAAATGAAACTATTAATTTTTTATATCTTATACTATTCTGTCTGCAATTGTGGTGACAATGTTTAGTTTGTAACAATAGGTATAAAGAAATGTACTTATTTCAAGACATAATTGAGAATTACTGGTATTTTTTGTTTGTGAAATTGTTATTAAGTTTGAAGCTTACGAAACAAAAAAAGAGGATTTTTTTTCAAATAACGAAGATACTTTTAAAATAATTAAAAAATATGTCTATAAAGTGGTTTCAAATAATAGCATTTATATCGCTAATGAAAATATAAAACTTAATAGTTTTTCCTACGGTTATTAATGTTTACTGATACTCCTTCGTTCGATTTGATTAAGATTAATTACTCCCATTCTCGGATATCATAGTTTATATGATAGTTTGGAGAATTACAATAATATTTGATATCTTTGACATCAATTTTCAAAGCTTTAACACAATATAAACAGAAATAGTTATGTTCGGATTTTCTATTGACATACTTATCTTTGTTTAAACTTCTACCTACATTATTATTTAAGAAGCTGTTTAAAGAAGGGCAGCACTTATCATATTTAATTTCGGTTTGTTATTGCTTCTATCAATCATCCTTGATGTCGGATTGCTATATTTTATAACAAGCGTAGACGACATATTATCATGTAAAATATAATTAAGTAGTTACCTGGAATATTCGTAACCATCTCGTTCATAATGATATATTTAAAGATATCTAAATTAAAGAATTATACAGGGGTGCCCACGGGTGCACGTTTCCTTGTGAAGTCAGTCCACTGAGATAAGAACAGAGGATTTTCCTTCGCTGATAAACTCCGCATTTTATACACTTGTAAATGTTGATGTTTATCCAATAAATTGTAATTATCTAAGCCAAGATCGTTCAGCTTATGTCGTACATTGTCATGCGATATCCAATAGGTTTGATACTGGTTGAGGCGGCCCCAGTTGATATCACCTCCTCTATGAGCAGACGTGAGAAAGTATTAATTCGCCGTCACTTGTAATTACTCGAGTGCGTTATCAGTCTAGCCGTTCCTACAGGGGATACTACTGGGCTCCCAGCGGTCAGTAATTGGCCGTAGTATAATCCTTGACCACAGCTTGATCACTTGTTTCTATCAGTTCACTCTGATACATTTTACTCTCTCGCTCTTACGATTTTCTGAGTCTTTATCTCCGTTTATTTTCACTTTGTTGCACCTTCAGTCATGCGAATCGCGTGGTTTGATCTGTATATCAATTACAAACTTTGTAAGCTTCCTGTTAAATTACCGCATGACACTCTTAATTTTGAAATTGATGTCGTCATGATGTCGATGTTAAAATGCATCGTAGATTTGTTAAAAATGTAAATATATTTCTGTTAAAGATGGGAGTAGAGGTGAACATACGGTCAATAGTTTGGTTCCAATACTTCTGAACAAAACTCCATTTTCCCTTTCAACAGCTGCAATCCATCAGTACTATTTGTTACATGAATGAAATTAAGAAGTGATTTTGTTTTGGGAAATTTATTTTCTCAGTGACATGGACTGAGCTAGGTTTGTTGATTTTTGGCTAGAGGATACCGGTTTCAACATCTGGAAGTAGTATGACTTGTGTATCATATTTTACCGGCGATCTCTCTCCCAATCCCCTTTCTAAACGTTTCTAGCCCCAGCTCGGACACCTGTGCTGTTTGATAGCAAGCCAAAATACGATACATGTACATTTTCCTTTAAAAATCGAACACTTTATAATATTTCAAGATAAGATTGCATACCCCCAGCGCGAACTTACCCATGCAAACGGCTTGGATTTGTAGCGTCTCCAGTTTGAAATATTTGTTTCTCCAATATGAATATCTTTTTTCACCTAATGGGAAATAATTGTCCAGCAAGTACTTGTCGATCCACAGGTAAGTTTTCCGTCACATACCGTAAGTGCACCTCTTGGCGTATATGTGTGTCAATGATATTTGGCTATGACTTTTGGGTCTACTGAAAATGAGCCATGGGCCTGCGGACGGGCCCCGGCTCCGTGCCCCTCCGTTCTAGGCCTGTGATTGGAGCGCGCCTACCCACACGTCAATCTCTCCCGGCCACGGTACCTCCCACGGATCACTGCGACTGGTTCCGAGCTAACGAACGTGCACTCGGCCAGCTACCAAACTCATTTACGATTCCTTCCTCTCACAACTTTACAAATTCATGCCCATTTATCTTTGGTTCCACAATCCCTATCTTATAGCATGACAAAATGCCCCTAAATGGACTCGTTGGTGTTTTCTGGAAATTTATATAATCTCATCACCAATAAATAAGCATGTTTGTTATCTTAATGTCTATTTGATTTACCTTTTGTTTTTCGAATAATAATACGTTATTTTGTCTCCATTGCAGCGATCTTATGACTGCTATTTGGATATTGCCAAGTTAAATACTAGATTCGCCAATATGTGACTTAGTTTTCTTTGGACAAACGGTTATCGCATTGGCGTTAAGCATATCGTGTGTATTTCACGAATGTCGACGTTGCGTCAAGCCCTTTTGGTCTCGCGTGGTAGCCCGTGTCCGTGCCATAAAGAGACCCCTCAAAGACCCAGAGAGTGAGGTGTCTTGTTGAACAACGATCGAATGCTCGTTTGGGCGGCTGAAGCGGAACAATGCGACTCCGCAACGCTGTCATGGCAGGGCACACTCGGATTCATGTAATTTGATTGTTACGTGAGCTTCCATCACCAAGAGTAAGCGATGTCGGCGGACCGGCACGAAAACTATCCCACATCTGCTATCCGATGAGAAAGCCACTCATATCTCCAAGGTTCCATATAAAATGGCCGGTACTTTTATTTTTTCCATTATTTTGTTTGTTTGACATTGTACAGAGTATGGAATTAGCGGAGGATTTAGGGAGCTGAGGAATACGTAAGTGAGGCTGCCAAGTTTGGATCTAAATGAAGTTCAGAGGAGCTACCATGTTGTCATCTGTACAAGGTACCGATATGTGATGGCCACCATCCCGCCTTCTTTGTTTTCATCGCCTTCCCACCTCGTCTAACGCTGTTGTTGGCAGTATATGATCATATTTGCGTTTCTGTACCTATACCTTCTTGTAGAAATGACCGCTTAATTATTATTATATATTTACAGAACCCTCGAAATCGTGTTTCTGTGTATATTATGCAATGCGACGGACATATCAGTCATAATGAGTTGCACTTACATTAAATCATACATACATTATTTTACGACAACAGAGACTTAATGGTTTTTTCGTATTTGTTCGAATTGGACAAACTCCCAACACATTTTTTTTGCTGTGTGATAGTTTCCATTTTTGTATCAAACTTAACTGTTTAAATACGATCATTTACGCTCCATAATATATAAACATTGGAAAAAAGTTGGCCATGTTTAATGTTTACCGATTTGTTCCTTCTTTAGAATATTCAGACTCACGTACCGGGGTACATTCATTCACAAAAATACAATACCTCAGAGGAGGATATAAATTCCTTTTAGATTTGTTATCGAACAGCTGACTAAACATGTTAAAACGTTTAGTGTGACTATCAGCTACACATTTTTTCTTAACAGAAGTAAACTTATATTTAGTCCATCTTACTTGGAATCTAATTTTTTCTTCGTGTTTAGTATTTCTGCGTCCATGAATAAATATGTTCTTCGAACATTCAGCCCCGCATTTTACCTAAGCATTAAGAAAATTCATGTTCTTGATAATGTCACAGAGAGAGGTAACTTATTAACCTATTTTTCACTGTCAACGTAAACTGTTCCTGATGTTTACACAATGTCTTATCTCTATTTTTAAATTATACATTCTTATGTTCTTTGAGAAAAGAAGAATACATTTGCATATTAATTGATTAATGATTTGTTTGTTTATTTGGCAGGTGCCTTAGCCAATTTTACCTGTAAAGAGGAGGACATTAATACGAGGGTTTGTATGCGAGCCGTCGTTTGGGGGAAAGGGCCGATAAACCAGCACAGATAAGCTTGGAATGAACGTGGGAACGGGCAGTGTCCAACACAAAACAATTAACTGTAGGTAATTACCTCTTTTTATTTGACGAAAATGTAGAATAGAATTAGTTTTATATTACTGTCACATTTTTGTTTATTTGTTTTTCTGATATTCTTAGCATAACATTTCGTAAAGCCTAAAACATTAGATTATTTATCAGTATATTAACAGAATTAATCTTATATAACAAAATATGAAATAATTAACAAGAGAACAGTGACATGCTGTTCTATATTAAAACATTAAGATATTAAATATTGCAAGTGAACAACAAATTTAAGTATCTTTTTTCTTTTATATTTCTTTTTTTATATTATTTGTTTAGTATTTAACATACATTTCATCTTCAAACATAGTAAGAATTATAAGAACCTACGATTCAGTAAAAAGATGTATTACCCTGAATCAAATATAACTATCGAAACACACCACATGCCTTTCTAAAATATAGATACATTTTAGCTGTATAAATTAATAAAATCAATCTCGAGATAAACAAAATTTGTTTTCGGATTTTCTTTTATAAGTTAAAGTATTCCTGAAAAATTTGCTTACTTAGTAAGTCAAAATTTTTAAATTTATTATTTTAATTTACTGACTTCAATTCAGTTAATAAATTCATTTAAAAAGATATGGACTCATTATAACACATTATAAATTATATTTATAAATAAATCAATTCAGAAGACCAAGTTTCTTCTCCTTTTCTATTTAACAATCCATGTTACTTGTTTGCTGTAGATATTACAGATATATAAAAAACAGAAAACGTATTATTATTGTGATTTATTTATGTATTAATTTAAATCTATATAATAAAGATAGATGTCTTGAAGATGATTTGAAACATTGTGGAATGAAATATTCTTCATTGTGTCTAATGTATTTTATCGTTATTTTAACAAGCAAATACATATTTCAAAGTATTCTGTGTAAATCAAGTTAAAGAATCTTTGTCGAAGTGAACCAATATCTTTTTGTGTAATATTAATATATTATAGAGGTCCACATTAATTTAAAACTTTGTAGGAATCGGTATGTAAATGCCAGTAATGACCTTGTTAGCAGTTATGAAAGTATTTCCAAATATTTTACACGAAAAAATCAAAACCATCTTCATACAACGAAAACAATGTACATTTACTGACGTATATGAAAATGTATATAATTATTTATTGTGTACGTAACATATATTCACTTTCTTCTTCGGTGGAGCATGTGCATATAATATAAGGATCAGTTACGGTATATATATACAGAAAAGTATAAAATAATTCTAAACACGTGTTAATTGAAAGCAGAACAAACATATCGTTATACAAACTATTAGTATCTTATCAATATCTATCGTAACGATATCATGTGATACTAGTACTGACTGGAATTCATTTAAACTTAAGCATTAATTATAGTCAAACAGGCTTTGCGTAAAGGCTTGTTAAATAAGGAAATTCTGTCGATATTTTCACGTTATTTAGAATTCTTATGAATATGTAATAAATATTTAAATTTGTGAAAGTCCATAATAAATATTTGTTTTGCTATATTTCATTTAACCCTGTTACAAATTTACTTGGAAAAACATACTTCGTATATTATATATCTAAGAATAAGATGATCTCATTGTATTTCAAAATACAACATTGTTATGTAATATCAAATGATCTTTTTAAAATATAAATATTTATACAAAGGCAAAGCTGATATGTAGAAGCTTTTACGAAAGAAAGAAGTTATATTTAAAATGTATTATATGCGTTTTCACATTATGCATAAAGTATATAGCAACATGAATTGTTGATAATATTATGACTGTTTTGTACTTTTTATTTTGTTAATACCACTGTTTATGAAATAATCAAATATGGGGAAATATACACTGTATTTGTGTTGTTGTAACCGATAGTTTTGTTTTTTATCTTATGCTTCATACTATGTCCTGCATACGGTATCACGACAGTATTTATTGTTTCATGTTAATTGTTTATTACATTCCAAAACATAGTTGTAAGGTATGAAAATAATAATAAAAAATCCCAAAACAAAATTCAAATGAAGTATAATTCAACGGAACCTGATCATTTGATAAATTTTTGACAAGTAAACACACAACTATGACTTAAACATTTGACAGCTGGAATCCAGATGTTTGGTATTTTAGACAAAGTCAAATTGCCATTTATGAAATGAAATTGTTACACGATATTGCATGTGAAAAATGCAATATGGTGATTGCATAAACTATTTTAGTCTTCATGTAAGTAGATTCCACCGTCACTAACGATACAAAATGTATTTAACAATTAAGATTAATTAAGCATTTGTTTTTTATCAAGTCAGAATTATTTGATACCCGTGCGTCCAAATAACACATTTATTGGCACAAACACAAACATATCTCCTTTTCTAGTAGATATTTTCATGTTGGAAAAGTTGTTCAGTGAAACGACATACGTTTGATTTTAAGATATCTTAAATATCTCAATGATGGCACATTTAAAATTTGAATACATGCCATCATTTTGATTGTAGAATATCGTTACAAAAGCGAAAAGGTAAAATCTAAGGTAAAATGATACCTTTTTGGCTCTTGTCCATACTAATTTATGGGCATTCTGTTGACACAATATAATTCGTCCTGTCCCATTACCATGACAGCAAAGAGGGTTGGCGCACATCATTTATTTAAATTGTGTATTCATTGTTTTTCCAACACATTTGGTCGCTTTCCATGCATCAACATGTGTATATTCTTTGTTTACAAGGCTTTACGTCACCTTTTGTTGTATAGAAACAAAAGTTTATAAAATTTGCATTTGCCTTTATGATAAACCAAACAAAATGTTAAAATAACAAACTCTTTTTTAGCGGTTTGATTTCCGAAACTACAATATGATAATAAAGTTTCCTGAAACTGAATAAAGTCACTGTGAAACATATCTTAAATTAAAAATAATTTTGTTTTAAACTTTGACAGACTGCTTAAAAATGTATCTGTGGTAT